GGGGGGAGGAAAAAGCCACAGGAAGAGAACTGGCCCCAAGTAGCAGGGACATTCCCTGCCCCAGACACGATCACAGGATACTCCAGTGCCAACAGTCATTCTGGAACCCACAGGGGAAAGCCACTGCCAGAGTTCAAGCCCAGTGTTGACCCTGACTGGCTGTGTGGCCTTAGGCAAGTCACAGCCTGTTTCTGGGCCTCAAGTGTCCCCATCTGTAAAGTACCACATAAGGGCCCTCCTGGCTGCCCCCTCTAGGAGACCCGTGTCATCATGAGTGTCTCTGCAGGCGGAGAAGGATGGGCAGGGGCCAGGGAGGGTCCCATCCAGTGGGCACTGCTAACCACACAGACAATAGGCCCACTTGGCAAGGCTGGCAGAGAGGGTCTCTGGATACTACCATGGTCCAGGGAGAGCACCTCTGGCTTCCTGTGCCCGGGTTTTCCCTGCTCCCTCTCTGGTGCCCCTTGTCCCAATGCCCAGAGCAGTAGGGCCCTGCCACAGCCCCTCTGCCCCTCAAGGGACAAAGCCAAGTGGCAGGTCGTGGCTGGAAAGGGGATCTAGGCCAAACGGGCTGTGGAGCCCCAGGAGGCCATAAGTGGGTGGGAGCCAGGATCAGAGACCAGGCAAGCAGCACAAAGGACTCACTCTGGAACGACTGACGGGAGGGGTGGGGCTGCAGGCAGCAGGGTGGGGCCCTACCTCAGCCAGGGAGCTCCGTCCAGCCTCCGACACGGTCCAGGGCTCCAGACCACCTGGGGGCTCTGGGGTTGTAGCCGGGTCCTCAGGGGGCGATGTCGGCATGGCCCCCGAGCCGGGCAGTGCAAGCTCCTGGGTATTGTGTGGGGCGGGGAGGGGGGAGGCGAAGGCGGAGGGAACCTCGCAGGCGGGCAGACGGCTGTCTCAACGTGCCTGCTCCCCGCCCCCCTTCCTCAGAACCGGTTTGGCCAGTCTGGGGTACTAGAGGGGGGCTGGAACAATAGGAGTCCTATGCCCCGGAGAGGCTCCGAAGGACCCCAGACCGATGTCCTAAAGATGGGGGAAGCACTGCTTTTCCTCCTGGGAAACATGTCACCCCCTTTTCTGGAGCTTCCCAGACGTGAGACACGCCGGGAGTGGAGGGGCTTCACAGAGAACCGCCCGAGCCTTGGACTCCTCAGGGACCCTGAGAACTCTGCAGTTCCCCCTCTGCTGACCCTCTCTGAGCTGGCTACCGCATCTGTAAAATGGGAATGCTCATCTCTAGGGCGGGGAGATGGAAATCGTGAAAGTTTGGTGACATGATACATCCAGGACCATCCTGGCCGGCCCTTCCAGCATCACTGCTCTCATGAATGACCCATCCACCCCGGCTGCCTGGAATGACCCACCTTTGCCGTTTCCAATGGCCTCCTCCACCAGGAAGCCTTCCCAGACTCTAGTCCACACCAAATGAGCCCTCAATAAAACAGCCCAAGTAGAACCAGCCTCCAGTAAGGAGGGCCTACTCTACGGCCAGCAATCTTCCCGACCCTGGGAAAGGGAATGCTGCTTTCTTCCTAATACTCTCTGCCATTCATTTAAGCACTCGGTAGTTGCCAGGCACATAGTAGTAATATGAATACGAACACAAATACCAATACTCGTGTTGCTAATAACTTACTGTCCACTATGTGCCAGGCACTGTTCCGAGCACTTCACACACTGATTTACATGTTCCCTCCCTATCCAAAAGTAGAGCGCTCCTGTGAAATCTTTCCTAAGCCAAAACGACGTGCAGCGAAGAAGCAATCGTCATTCATTTATTTGGAAAAATGTTTTTAGCACTTCCATACCCCCCAAAAATAACCTCTCT